AAGCCGCTGGTGCAAACGAACCTTCCGATGCTGCCAAATATTCTCCAGTTGGCGCTGGTGGTGCAGTACTTCATGGATGACATCCAGAACGTGATGCACTGCTTTTGAATAGTTGGCAGAAGCGGTGAGGGAATCAGAACTCCCAGGAGTCAAAGGTCTCTGAAGTTTGTCAAGTAGTGACTTTCCATCTTGGCTCACCTGACAACCAGAAAGGACACAGAATTACTTGTCTTGCCAAAAGACCGTTAGACTACTATTTTATTCTAATTTATATTCTATTTTATACTATTTTATATTGAGGAGCAGTAATGAAGATTTTTTTTTATTCCAGGCATGATTACATGCATCTGTTACAGAAAAAAGAAAAAAGTATATTCTCCCTCTATGTAAGATAATTTTAAGAAGTAGCACTCTTCTAAATAACAGCCTGTCTTTCTTTATTTTTTCCAAATACCTTAAAAATGCTTTTCTTTTAAAGTGATTTTTTAAATTTTTTTTAACAGGTCAAGTCTAACTTAGAATATTCTTCAGCTCTTTCTCTAGTGAACAAAGCATCTGAAATTAAGTATCCTTTCAGGAGTATCTCTTTTCATTCACTGTAAAGGTGAACAACAGTTTACTTTTTACAGGTTAATAATAATTTAATACATTTAGGTCAGTCAATATAAGCTTAGGACATGATATGATCTGACATGATTTACGACTTCTAAATTATTAATCTAACCGGTAAGCCAAAGGCAAACTGTTACAGCAAACTTAGACCTGATCAAATCACTTAAAACCTTTCCTTACAGCACAGAAAGACACTCTTTTCCAAAATGTGTTTAACTACTGATGCTGAAAAGAAACAGTAGTTATTTCTTCTTGTTGTCTTCCCTGACTCAAGCCACAGCAAAATATTCAGATTTACATTGCATGCTAATTAAAAAGCAGTAATTCTATCTTATCTAGTCACTATTAACACCTACTACTTGCCCAGGCTGTTGAAAGTACTCGTTGGCATTTGACTATGGTGTCGCTTTAAGCATGAAGCTCAGAGAATTGTTACAATTTGGTATCATTTAGCTATCTGTAAAGAACTTTTCTAATAGTTCATCTAACAGACAGGAAAAATTAATCCAAAACCACAAGACTGGAGTGTAAACAACAGTCTGAATCCATCAAATCAACACCATGTCAGAAACAGAAATTTTGTCAAGGACTTCCCCCAGTGGCTACTTTGAACAATTTTCACTAAATCCAGGCACATTTAAATGTTCTATTCAGTAGTCAAAGAGATACAAAATTCTCTTCTAATAATTAGTTTACAAGTGAGTTTATTTCTCAGTTCCAGTTCAAGCTTTTTCATTTTACTGTCAACACAGAGAATGAAGCTCACTTGGAAAACATAGCTCCAATAAATCAAGTCAGGCAGAAAAAGAGTTCGCAGTAGTTATTATAATGATGATTTTTTTTTTCTTTTCTGTATCCAAAGCAATTATCTAGGACAAGTCTTCCAAAGACTTCAGGATAATGGACTTCAATTATCTATCCAGAGTTCATGAAATTTAGGGGAAAAAATAATTAATTGTGACAGCCCCTTGATCTGATTAGTTTATTAGCTTTACAAACAAATCGTGTGCATTTGCTCCTTGGAGTTAACACAGTAAAGTTTTCTTCCTTTCTAGTGCATGACTACCTTAGGATTTCAGTGAGAAAAGTTCGTTTATATATATAAAACTTCATTTAATGCATAGCTATTGTATTTTTAAGCACACCAGTAACCTAAGCTTGTAAGCTAAGTTACTTTTCTAGCAAAATACAGTAATTATCCTTAGTAAAATCAGACTGTCTGGTCTTAAAAACATTTACTCTTTTAAAATTACTCTCTTCTATTTTGCAACAAGTCATGTTGTCAAGACACTGTAACCTAAAACGAATGACAAAGTGCTGAAATTTCCACAGTGTTCCTCTCTCTCTTCCCACTGTTCATTCATCACAAAACGAAAAGGAGCTCTGTGCTGTAACAGAAATGAAGTTGTAAAATAATGAAGTCATCTAATAATGATACGCAATAGGTCTATAATATCTTCCCACAGAAAGGCAACTCCATCCACCTTCAGAAAGGAATGCCTGTTTAACTAAGGCAAAATAAAACCTTCTGTCCAGAGGAGGGATGTGATTTGTATATACAACTATTATTTCTGCACCAATTCTTGGTTGCTGCAGTAATGATCTGAAGTCAGAAGACAGACATCTAAATGTTGGTTTTTCTGAGCAGTACCAGTGAAGACTTTGTTAAAACCTCTAGTTAATCCGAAGTCAAAAGCTACAGCTTTGAAATCCTAAATAAATTTCCAAGGTATTTGCCAGAGCAATCCTATAATCTGCACATCTAATTTATTTTCATTATACGTCACCAGGTGGCAAACAGTATTTAACATGGTAATCCACAGTACTTATTTACACTTATCAGCAAACTCTAATCCAGTCACATTCTTGTTTAAAAAAAATCAATTCAAAAGAAATAAAACCAAATAAAACTCTTTCAAAAAATTACACTATTTTAATTTCAATGCTTTAGAGTCATTATTCTAGAGAACCCTATCTGCCTAGTTCCTTGCTGCACTCTCATGAAGTATGTGTCCCAGACCGACTCTACTACAAATGTGCAACGTCTGCCCCTTGTTTTACAAAAGGATCCTCCCAATGAAGAGAGGTTATAATGAAGAAAAACACTCCCACAAGACATGCTCTCAAGAATGAGTTAAAACAGGTATGTGTGGTAAGATCACAAGTTTTATCACCAAAGGTGTGCTTCATAGCAAGGTGGCATTTATTAGGAATGGGGATATCACTGTGTATTTTACACGAAAGAACAATAACTCAGGTGAACTCTGGACATCTGACTCAAAGTAATAAAGTTTATGCAGGCTCTAAGATGGCACATATTCAAAACACCCGGTTTGATATACTAGCAATAGGACTGATCACCAGCACCAGTCTTACCCTCCTTTACTGCTAAATGAAATGTGACCAGACTTAACAATTCTGCTGCCCATAATAAGAGAGAGGGCTCACTGGAAAGTAGTTTTACCTTCAATATAATCTATAAATCACAACCATTAATTCAATCCCACATGACCTTATTTTAGAAGAAGGTGCAAGCTGTAGCCTAAGCTATCCTATGTCTGCTGTTCTGTGATTTGATTGAATGTGTAATTTCATGCAACTTTCATGAAAACTGAAACTGCTGTATTTAATCCAAAATAACATCAGTCCAATTTAACAGCAAAATATTTTTACCCTGTGATGAGAATAACCCTAGAAAAAGAAAGCAAGAAAAGCTCAACAGGAAATAGAGCATATAACAGTTAGCTAATAGTAAAGTCAACACGCACTTCATTTCCCACTTGAGTTAACTAACGAATGTGAACAACTCAAAACTAGAAAAAAGATACGTTAGTCCTTGCTTTCTAGGCCACAGTTGGAATAAGCATTTAATCTCTAGTTGTACACACAACTATTAGAAATACTGAGAAACATTATTACTTCACTGTGTGCAGAATCCAAGATTAGAGCAACAGCACAGGGTATGCTAATTTTACAAATGCTGACTTCATAGGCACAATGGCTCATTCAAGTGTCTCTGGGGTTGGCAGAATTGAGTATATTACTTTTTGGCTTGTCAAGTGACGTCCTTTGATGGTTAAGCCTTTTTTTATGAGGTAATTTTAGAGATGGATTTTGAGAACACAAAATACTCCATGCCAACAGAATACTTTCCCAAAGAATACCCAGCTAGCTTCCCTTAAAGTAAATGTTTAAATGGTACTATCATACTGCTGTTAAAAGACAGTAGTATGCAAATATAAATTACAACATACTTAGTACACTGCAAGAGTTGTTTATACCACACATGGTTCCATCTTGCCTTTTCTTTTTTTTTTTTATTTTCAGAAGATTAAGGGGAGAATTTCCTTTTGAATAACAGTAGTAAAATCCAGTGTACTAAAATCAAAAAAGAGGCCTGGCACTTGACCTTTCAACTTATGCAGCTAGTGATGCCAGTTCATGATCCAAATTTAACATTACACCATTTTATCCACTCAGCAACCTGAGGAAACAAACAAAATACTTACCTCAGAGTAAGCCAAGGTAATATGCTCATATATCCCTTGATGATGATGGATAGCATCTTCTAAATCTTGCAGTTCTGAGGGAAGCTCCACCTCACCACAGGCTTTACACCATGAGTCCACATTGCTCATGTACTGCAACGGAAAAAAAATACTCTACTTGATTTTTGGGTTCCACCATTATATACATGTTGATAATATACAAACGGACTGGCATCTGTGTGATAGCCACTGAAAAGACTTTTTTTAAATGGAAAAAAGTTTAATGTTTTTTCTCTGAATCGACCAGTATGAAGCTTATATCAGAACAGAAACAAACATTCAAGTCTGACCAGTGCTTTTAGTTACATGGAACTCTTTAAGTCATTCACAGACAGGCAGGCTTATTAGCTCTGCGCGAGCAGCTTTCAGAACTAAATAAGCTGTTGGCAATACTGACGCTTCAAGTTCACTCTTGCTCCTTTTCTTGACTTTGCAGCTAAGGGAAAAAAAAAAAAAAATCTCGTTCCACACCTACCGTCCAGTTGCATGAAAGCCAGTTAAGGTCTTGCCTATGCAAAGAGGTAGAACATACTACAGCTTTCAAGTCCAGACCTTTAGCTCTTACCCATCAACAACCTGTGCATATATTCACCACATCATCAGTTATCATCTCACCTGTTTAAAATCTTCAGAGCAAACCTAGTTACTTTGCACATGTGTGCACATGCACGCGCACACACACACACACACACACACACAGAGTTATTGGTGAACTGCTCACTGAAACATTCCATAGCTGTCTTTTGCTGGAAAGAGATCATCAAGGACACAAACTAGGGTTAGAGCACAGCAAATTCATACCTCCATCCCCAAAGCACTAACTTCTACACGCAGAGAAGCACTAAATCCATTTGGCAAGCTACTACAGCAGCAAGCATGTAAAGGATTTACAACTTAAGTGGGGGTCTCTTAGGACTAACACAAAACTTTGAGCACACAGCTACATCAGCATAGCAGCTCAAGTCAAGCTTTTCAGGGGAAATTGAGGATACTGCAATAGAATTGCTTCTTCTGCAGACAATTTAAGTTCTTTCTGAAGCTTAAGCTGTCTTGACAGACAAGAAACTGCCGTCACAACTGTATACACAGTACAAGTTCTGTCAACTTACTTTTGACAGCTAGGGGGCATGAATTTTATAGCCTTGTTATGTCAGGAAAGGAAAGAGGAAAAAAAGAATCTGTTTTTTTCTATTTTTTATAGCTGTTAAACAGAGTACAGTCAAACACATGTGTTATTTGTAAACTAAATTTGTCCTTTGTTCCTGTTAAGTTCATGTCTCAAAAGTTCTGAGAGACCAAGCCATTTCTCTCATCATACATATCTTAATTGCTGGAGCACATGTAGTCTTTTGTCTATTGTCTTTACTTTCGTTTGAAAACTAGGAGGAAGTGTAATAGAGCACTTTAAGATCTTAATTTTTCATTTCATCAAGGGTCAATTGTAAAAATATCTAACATCAAACATAGAACATTAAAAGAAGCTCCGTGTGGGTCCACAGAGCTACACCTTTTGCACCAGTCAGCAGGCACCAACAGCCAGGTGCAGTTTTCATACGCGTTCAAGAAGGGTGTGTTATTTCTTTGGCTGCTTATTTTTTAACTATCTTTTTATGTAGGTCAAGTATCGACAGTCTCTAAAGGGGCCATTCCTCTCATTCCAAACCCTCTTGCCTTGAACTCACTCTCCACTGTTAATGAAAGAGCTCATATATCACAGCCAGGTATCTTACAAAGCAACTAGGACAATCCATCGCAGTTAATCATAAAATGAAAGCCGCAGAAGGAGCAATTAAAAAGTAAATTAATCCCAGCAGATGCTGCACTATTTTCTCTCATTCTTTTCCTCCCTCCTGTTTATGCTTACATCTAGCGCTGAAGAAGGTAACATCAACCCTTGCCACAGTTGCCCAGTGCACACACACAAAATTTACTCTCCTGACTTCTGATGAACATCATTTTCTTATGAAAAAGGACAGCATTTGAGTCAGGTTATATCCATGTTTCATGATCTCTCTCCTATACATATGGCTGACAGTGCTTAAATGTAAACCTGAATAACCCAAGCAACTAGAAAACCATCAATACTGATAAGGTACCGCAGTGTGTCTATCAAATGCTTCAAGCTGGTTCATGACTTTTATACAGGAAAATAATTCCTTCGTCTCATTTTCTGTGGCTTTTCTGTAAAACCTGCTAAAAATACTTACTGTAGTGGCATCGGTTGATATACTGTACCTTAAGTCTGTCTAAAGACGCTTAAACCAAAGTCACCACTAATAATGAAAAGCAATATGTTTTTGCATCTTAATACATTCACGTCTCCAATTTCTGGGCATTTAAGTTGACTATCTGTGTAGTAGAAATCAAGAAAACAACTTCCTAAAGTGTGTTGCCTCTCTTTCTGTAGTTATCAACTCCCAAGTGGTTCCTTCATTTATTCCAAATTAAAGTTGTATCAGACATGAGACCTCTTCTTGGATCCAATTTAGCAAGGCAAATGGATGGAAAAGCATCTGCAACAGCCACACGGCACACCAGAGGTTCAGTCAGACATAATCATCCAAGAACCTCTGCTCTCCAAATTCTCCAGCAATGTACAGAGCAGGCAGTCTGTAATATCAATGGGTGACTCAACACACATAGCAACTCCTTCAGAACTGAATTCCCTTGAGGGGAAAACATGCTTTCACCATCAAGACTATTAACTTAGGGATATTTATTCCTATTTCCCCTACACGTACCTCTTCTCTGGCAGTTACACACGGTTAATGACTTAATTAAAATAATTGGTATAGGCCTAAAGCTAAAATTTTTGTTTAATATAGGAGGAATCTCTTATGGGATACTAAGTAAACATCTCCCCACCACAATTTAAGATCCAGAAGACAGTTAATTAACTTCTTAACTTTCAGGCCACTTCAGCTTAGCTTTCTACAAGCAATTACTATGAGTTAAGTCTTGACACTCAAGGACTGATTGGGCTGGAGTGGTGAAGAGACAAGAGTGATGATTTCTGAATGTAGGAAAGACATTGTATCGATAACAACTATACTAATTTTTTTCTTTTCTTTCAACGTAAAACCTTTATACAGTTAATAGTTTATGTCCACTTTATTTTGATTTATACAACTAAACTTTAACTTAGATTGATATGGACCAGGCATTTTGTGGAAAATATTAGAGTTGTCCTGTTTGAGTATCAGCTGAAATCTGCAGAAAATAATGCTCTAGCTTTCTTGCCAGCCTTTTCAATTACTCTCCTGTACTTCTTTCTAAATCAAAAGCAAATAGTACAAAACTCTCCATTCCAGCATCCTCCTCATTTACTAACCTGTTCAGCCTTCTGATGGAAGATGGAGGACATATCCAGTAACGTGCTACGTTCATCCAAGGCTGCAGCAAACGCCTTCCATTCTTGCTCCAACTGACTAGCAATCTGTTTTATTTGCTGTGAAGCATAATGGCCAGACTCGACCAGGCGATTTGCTACTGACATGATGCGGTTTATGTTTACATACACATTCTGTGGAGAATAAGGAAGGAAAAATTAATGGAAGTTAGCAGACCATTTAAATACAGAGGCATACTTCTCTAAAATTCTTCTTTATTACAGTAATGCTCAACAGATTGGCTTTATTTGCCAAGTTTATGCATGCCTAACTTTAGAATGTAAGTGTATAATGTAACAGCCCATCTATGTTATTCAGAGAGCGAGATGGGTAACTTGAAAAGATCAGTCTCAAGCTAACGTTAACAGTCAGCTTAAAGTTACATTATATGAGGACCCATTATGAGGACCTATTATTACAATAAAGAGGAACAGTTAACCATATTTTGCAACAGCCTCCGTAAGAGCATTTATAGATGTTCAAGTCAATAGAACATTCAGGCACACACAATATAGGAAAATCAAAGTATAACTATTAAGCGCTTGATCTACTCATGGTATGCATGTGTGCAACATCATCCTACCAATCTTTACATCAACTTCTGAAAGTCTTTGTACTTTTTTCTCTGTAACAAAATACAGAACTCCGAGTTCTCACCAGTTCAACAGCTTTAGATTTTATTTTCCTGCCACTACGTTGCCTCAGAGCTAGCACTGAAAACCAGACAAATGAGGTCAAAGATCAGAAAGATTCTCCAGCATTAGTCACTGGTGGCTCTTAGTCGCTGTAATACCAATCAAGTATTTCCCATACCCGCAAAGCCATAAACAAGAACAATTTCACCACTAAAAAGTTTCTAAGTAGCTTTTCCAGAGCTACATGTATTTAACGCTGAGCTGACACTTCCTTTAACTGTACTGACTCTTAAACATCTAGAATCAAGTTCTTACAAATCATGGAGAAGACCTGGTCCAATCCTCTGCTCAAAGCAGGTTCAGTCAGAGCAGGTTGCTCAGCATGATGTCCAGTGCAGTTCTGAGAATCTATAAGGACTGAGGGACCACAATCTCTCTGGGCAACCCATTCCAGTGTTCCTTACATTTAAATGGAATTCCTTGTATGTCAACTAGTGCTCATTACCTCTTGTTCTTTTACTGGATACCAAGGAGAGAAGTCTGGTTCTGTCTTCTTTACTCAGATATTTATTTTTTTTTATGTATGTAGGATCCCTCCTAAGCATTCTTTTATCCAGGGTAACTATTACCAGCCCTCTTAGCCTCTTGCACAACAAAAGGATGCCACACAGGTACTTCAGAAACTTGGTCATGGTGACTTCCCAATAATGGAATGAGCACTTTCCACATAATAATGTTGTCCTTTAGGTACACCCTAATTTGTGTGTGTACACTTGCAACAACTCCAGTTCACCACTGTTTTGTTGAGTGCAACGTCCCTTTTGTTCACAACACAGCAAGCCCTTTCCTTGCCAATCCAGTCTACCACTTCTCACTTGATTGTCGGTCCTCTTCTCCCTCTCCCATCATTCTTACCCTAAAGCTCTCATGTTGTCCAGCTTGCTAGCAAAGGTATTTTTGTCTGACTTAGTCAAATACCAATCCGTGATCCTCAGAGACTCATGGTTGTAGAAAACAAAACCCTTGTGTTGCCAACGCAAACCGTGTAAACAGCTGTTGACCTGCAGGATTCATCTACTCTCAACAGCAGGATTGAGAAAAAAATCACCTGGGCTCCCATGTCCTTGAGCACTGCTTCTGCAGCCATGCAGTCATGCTCGAGACTTCCCAGGTCACCCCTGGCACCACTGGTGCTCACATGGAAGCACAGAAGGTGGTAAAACTCTGAGAGCTGGACAAGCTTTGCCAGTCCTTCCACATCATCTCAAATCCAAGCCCCCAGCAAGCAGCAAACTTTCATAGAGAATGAGGCAGGTTGGCAGATGAGGGTGTCTGTTCCCTGCAGAAGGGAGATTCCCGTTACTACCATTCGCCTCTTCCTTTTGGTGCTCCTGTGTGGCTCAGGCTTAGATGGCACAGATACTTCGACAGCTCCCACCTCCTCATCAGCCATGAGGTCGGTGAATCTATTCTGTAGCTGCAAGTTCAGGCCAAGCAGAAACCTTCCTCCTAGTGCCAGAAGCCATTGCCTTCCATACTCCATCATCATGGGACTCTCCACTTGCCAAATAGACAGGCACAGACTCTGCCTGACTGTCCCCTTCAGTACAGCTGGTAGTCTGGGCTCTTGAAGCTGCAGAGTGTTGGAAAAGATCTGGTCAACCTCTTTCTCATTATCTCTGATGCTGTGCAGACTGCAGCTTCTTTACTTGGGTGACACAGAGGCCTCCTGCAGGCAAGGAAACTATCTTCTGCTGTCCCAACTTTGGCAAGAGACCACAGGCCCTCCCTGGAGCCCTGGACCTGCAGAGCTGTATCCTCCTTCTGGAGCTTTGCCTGGGTCAAGGTGTCTGATGTTACAGGGATAGTTCTGTAACTGGGGACTGGGCCCTGGGTTGCCAAGGACATGGATGGTGCATCCATTGGCTACTTGTCTTACCTGCACTAGGTTCTTGCCTATATCCTAAAAATCTACATGTAGGGCCTAACACTATCACACAGGACAGTCAGGAAGAAAAAAAAACAACAAGCACCATTAAAATGTCAACAATCAGAAGTGAAATATTTTTCCTTCTTGTCCGTGCTGTGCTTTCTGGAATGTCAGCATGCAGGAAATGCCATGGAGCAGCTGGCGACCTGTCAGCAGCAGCATCGCAACCTTCTCCAACCAAGGGTTGAGGAGATGAGTTCAGTGAGCCAGAGAGGACAGAACTGACTGCCACAAGCCTCAGTAAAGGCCACAGATCAAGTGACAGAAGAACAAAACCTGAAATCGCTGGAAAAACATATACTACTGTTGAGTGATGCGATGGGCAGTCTGACTACAACCCATGCCACTAAAGAACGGTCGGGGAGAGTGCTGGCGCATGGACTCCCAACACTGAGTAATGGCTCAGCATCTGAGGTGGAACCATTATCTGTTGACATCAAGCCACTGTCCAGAGCCTGACACTGACTGGCTGGAGCAAGTGCTGCAGTTCCTCCAGGCTTCACTGTGCTGACTCATATGAGTGGTAATTGGCAGAGGTCTCTATTAATTCCAACTGTGTGCACGTATGCAGGTAGGGGCATACCTAGGCCTACACCTCGGGTGGTATGCTTAATAAATTGAGCACAGGAGTGCCATGTTGGCTGTTTTTCCTTCCTGCACACTACTATCTCTCCACTTTTTAGGTTATCTCACACTATCTATGCTCTCCTCTAAAGCACTGATGAACTGGAAGAGAAGAATTTTCAACAAATTTTAAAAGACTGCAGAGCATTTAGGCATATAAAAGTGTATGTAGCACAAATACAAGACTGCTAAATAAATCCAGAAAGCCACTAAAAGGTTTTTGCAGTGGTATGAAAACACAAGTGTCAAAAGAGAAAAGAATAAAGGCTATATTACATTGCCATTTCAAATGCTTGTGTATCATAATAAAGGAATTTTGGAAATTCTGGAATATTAGTTAGATATGAAGGACAGGGCACCTTAAATGCGAAATTACACAAACAAAAACTAAGCTGTGGTTAAAAAGCATCCATTTTTCCATGGCAATCTAGCTTCACAAGTGTGGAAGAATACTCCCTGTCCATAGTAGTATGAATATCAATTAACATACTGACAGTTAAACACTTTCCATTCTATGTACACCACATTCCTAAAAAAAACCCCCGAAACAACCCAAAACCCCCCCAAACCCAAACCAAACAAACAAAACTCCATAACAAAAAAAGATCCCTTATAATAATATTTTTTTCCCTCCTCACTATTTCTCTCATTACCTAATATATCCACTAAAAGTCTAAGCTTAGAATCATTAACGTTAGAAAAGACCTCTATGGTCTAATCGTCAACCCAACATCACCACAACCACTAAACCATGTCCTGAAGTGCTATGTCTGTATGTTTTTGAACACCTCCAGACATAGTGACTCCATCACTTCCACGGGCAGCCTCACCATCTCTTTCAATGCCTCATCACTCTTTCTAACCTCCCTGGCGCAACTTGAGGACATGTCCTCTTGTCCTATCACTTGTTACTTGGGAGAAGAGACCAACACCCACCTCACTAAAGCCTCCTTTCACGTAGCTGTAGAGAAGAAGATCTCCCCCTAGTCTCCTTTTCTCTAGAGTGAACAATCCCAGTTATCTCGGCTGATCTTCATAAGAGTTCTTCTCGAGACCCTTCACCAGCTTCATTGCCCTTCTCTGGAGCCCTCCAGTACCTCACCGTCCTTCTCACACTGCAGGGCCCGAAACTGAACACAGGACTCAAGGTAGAGCTTCACCAGTGTCAAGCACAGGGTCATGATTGCTTCCCTGCTCCTGCTGACACCACCATTCCTGATCCAGGCCAGGATGCCGTTGGCCTTCTTGGCCACCTGGGCACACTGTTGGCTCCTGTTCAGCCGGCTGTCCACCAGCACCCCCAGATCCTTTCCTGCCAGGCAGCTCTCCAATTTCAGAATGTCATGACCCAAAAGAGATAGCTTTAGTTAAGAAGGCAAAGAATCTCAAATAGTGACTCACAACAATTGGACTATCTTTAACTGATCTTTGAAGGTTAACAAGTTTAGTTCAATTTTCCAAAAGGACAGTAAGGTCCACTGTCATTATTATATGACAAATGTGTATTTTGAACACTGTTTGAGAAGCACTGTTCAAAGTAAGCTGGTGCTCGTTCCCCAGGAACAGACATCTTATTCATTGCATGGGTCTGCATGAAATATCTGCAGCTTCTAAATGTGTATCAACTGTCTAAAAACTGAAAGGCTAAAGTGATATATTTCTTTCACTATGTTATACATGACTATTTTAACAAAACCAGAAAGGGAACAACTCAAGTTACTGCATTACAGTATGTATACTATGCACACGAACATCCTTAGCATGATTATTTTCTCTCACAATGCCCTTTAGTCAGAAGCTGAAAAGATACCTTACAATATCTGGAAAGCTCCTCACTGCACAATTATTCCCTAAAGGGAATGTACACATAAAAAAGTATTACTCA